AAAAAAATAAAGTTTGTATGACCTTAATACTTTTAGTATGTGTAATCTTAACCATTTTTTTTAATATTAGGATTATATTCAATTTTTAAAAGATAAAAATCACAAAATTTTTTAATATGAAAACTCAAACTTTAAGGTGAGGCTAAATTTATACTGGCCCTTGAGCTCTAGTGGCATAGCCACGGTACATTTTCCTTCTCGGCAAGGTTCAAAAACCTGCCCTTGCAAAATACATTAAAAAAAAAAAGTGAGGCTAAATTTGAGTGTTGAGTGCGCAAAATTACATTTTTAATTAAATTTTATAAAAAATAAAAAAAATCATTTTAATTTTATAAAATCTTCAATTAAAATCAAGCAACTACAATTTCTTTTGCCAAATGTAAGTGGTGGCATTTTTCAACATCTAAATCCAAAATCCAGTACACAGCACCATAACGCTAGTGCCGGTAATGTTGTCAATTGTTCAGTTGTCAGTTGTGACCCACCAAACCACATAAAATTTGAAACGCAAAATTTGAAAAACGCAGAGGAGAGAGGGCTGAGAAAAAGCAAGGAGATCTACCAGAACAGGAGAATTTTTTTTTTAAAAAAGAATAATAATTAAGATCTCCTTACTTCTTCAGTTCTTCACTCCGATCAGATCCGACCGCCCCCACGCCGTCACGCCGGCCGTTGATTCTCCGTCTGTCAAGTTCTCCGGGTTTTCTCACCCTCATTTCGTTATATATTACACTAGCAATCTTCGATTTCACCTTAAAATTCTGGTATCTACGTCTCATTTGTTCGCTCGTTTTATCTCTCGGTTGCTTCCCGATCGGATTTTGAAAATGTCTTTTGGGTAGTTCTGAATTTTGTTTAGAATTTGGGCGGTGAATTGCGGGAATTTGATTGCGCATTTTGATAAAGTGATTTGAGGTGTTAATTTGATGAGATTTTGAGGGTTTCTGGATATTTTTGATATGGCTTCGGCTCAGGTGTTGCCTAATCCACGGAAGCACGAGCATCTGGAAGCTGGAAAACGTCGGGTACGTGTTCTTGATATTGCTGCTGCTGTATTTCTCAGGTTCAGTTGTATTTATTCCCTCAATTTGATATACTGTTGTTGATTCTGCCATTGCAGTGTTACTTACTAGATTTTATGATTCCTATTGTGGTCTTGTCATCTTTTAGATAGTTGTCCTTGCATAAGTGATAACTTAGCTGCTTTCTTGCATTTTCATTTGCCCATACCCAAGCTCTGTATTCTCATGATGCTATACCCATAATACCACTAAAAGATTGTATTTTTTTGGTTGTCATTTATTTTTGTATATTCACACAGATTGGTTCCTGGAATCTGTTATTTATTTGTTCTTTATGGTGGTACAATTTCTTGAGAGAAAACATAGATTTACAGAGTGAACTTATCCCATTTACTAAAATTGGTTTATTCTATTCTTTTGTAGCTTGAAGAATTCCGCAAGAAAAAAGCTGCAGACAGGGCCAAGAAGGCTGCATCTATTAGCCAACCTCATAATCGGTTAGAAATTGAAAATGGACAAATCTTTGATGTGGATGGTGTTGTTACATCAGATGGACCCTCTACTGCAACAACTAACAACGACAGCAGCATCAAAGCAATTGAATTTGCCAATGAAACGCAGCCAGTTTTCTCAAATGAGACACAGGCTAGTCCAAGCTTTTCAGGGGATGGTTATAGTTCGTCTTCTGCAGACTTTCAGTCATATGCAAATCATAAAGAAATTCAGAAATATAATGCTTCAGCAAATGGATCATTGGATATAAATTATAGCTCAGGCACAAAACAAATGGCTAATGACTGTGAAACAAATGCTAATTCTCTAGACACTGTTGCACATGGGCATACATATGACCATCTTATTGGTGTACACAGACAAGAAAGCCAACCTTATGATAACAATTCTAGTCAATCTAGCTTTTCTGGGAGTAGGGACTCTGACTTAAAAGAAAAAGACAATTCTTTGAAGGTTTCTTCGGTCGTAAGTGCAATATCTTCTCAAGATTTTCTGACAAAATTATCCTCTCACAGTTCACTGCAAAGTAAGCCCAGTAATGTCAGCTCACTTGGTAGTGACCATGCACTCTCATCTTTGTATGAAGGTAATGTATTTTTGAACTCTGGTTTCTGTTTCCAATTGTCTCTGACCTGAGTTTCCACTTATTTGTGTTCTTAATGATTTCTTCTTGGTAGGAATTGACCAATGTTATATGTTCTTGTATTTTGATCGTAGATTCTGTTCAATCTACCACCAGCATGAGAGGGTCTTCCCCTGAAGTTAGTGAAAACATGCTTGTCATGACAGAGTTAACCAAACCTATGATTTCTAACCTGGGGGAAGAAAAGCTAGGTAGCACAACTAGTGGCTTCCCTAGCATGCAAATGTCTGAATCTTCAGGATTCAGTTTTGATGTCACAAATTCCTCAAGTCAAATGCCACTATATCCAGTCACAAATGACACTAGTTCACATAGATCTCGTCCATCTTTTCTTGATTCTCTTAATGTTCCCAGATCTTCATCAGGGTCCCCTTTCCAGCATAATGAACTTGGAAAGGATTCATTTGTCTTCAACAGTTCACAATTTAACAGCACAGTTGTCCCAGGATCATCTCTTTTTCAGAAGCCATCATCAGAGACTGAAACTAATTACTTAAAGCTGGGAACTTCTAATGTTCCTGGTGCAAATGAGCAGCCTGTGAATTCTTCTATTTCTGCTAGTAATGGAAGTGACCTGTTGAGGTTGAGTTTTAACGAGATGAATAGTATGGAGAAGAAGTATGACTTCTACTCACCCCAACAGAATGAAGATTTTACTGCTTTGGAACAGGTACTCATTTCTACAGTTATCATGTTTGATAGATACGGCTTAGCTTTAGTTTGATTCTTGGTTTTGAATGTTTATCTTTTGAGTACAAAAAATTTCAAATCTCTCAGTCATTATAGTGCTTGGAGCAACAAGTTCATTAATACATAATTGGCGCGGCAGGTACTTCTTTATTATGCATTTGCACCTTGGCATCATGGGTATAGAGCATTTCACTTTAATCTTCATAGAACATTCCATGATCTAACAGTTTCAAGCTGTAGTCTATCTGTTGGCAATGTGGCATTCTATTGGTTTTCAAAAATGAATTTTGTCCATTTGCTTTTTTGAAGTTTAGCTTATTTTGAGTTGCCTGTATCCATTATCTTCCATATTTTATTTTTTCTTTGAGTTTCATTTTCTCTTTGTTGACTGGAAAATATATTATATTTATGTTATATTCTTTTTTCACTCTGCAGCATATTGAAGATCTGACACAAGAAAAATTTTCATTGCAACGAGCTCTTGAGGCTTCACAAGCCTTAGCGGAAACTTTGGCTGCTGAAAATTCATCCTCGACAGATAATTATAATCAACAGGTTTGTCTGTGAGTATGATTCTTGTGGAATGTGACAACTATGTTATATGAAGTTGTTCTTTTCTATCTTTGTAATATCATGAGTAATGGTACCTTTTCAGTTAAATAACTTGCTGGGATATGTAATGTCAACATAATGTGGTGAAATATAAGCTCTTATTCATTTTTCTGTCAAATGTTATTTAGCATGTTTGAGTTTTGCTCTTTGGATGTTCTTTTGGTCTTTCTTCCTCTCTTTTCTTTGTGAGCACATCTCTGTTTATTTTATTTGTATTTTCTTTCTTTTAGCTTGGAGTGGGTTGTTTGAGTGACTATAACAGGTTGCAAGTTCAAGAAGCAAAAGACTTGCATTTTTGTTGTCCGCACATTAAAATGTTAACCCCTAACAACATGTGAAGGGTAGGCATTTTTCTCATTTTTCAGGCATGTTTAAGAACTATATTCAACTTTTTTAAAAGAATAATGACAATAAGAAGGTTTTTCTAAAAAAATGTTTGTAATCCTTTGCTTGAGGATTCAAGTGATTGACTTTTATCTTACATGAACTCCACAGTCAGCATCTTTTGTATGGATTAATGCATGAGATTACGGTCATATCTTTGCAATGCAACTTCTTGCTGCTTATTTATGAAATCTTGAAAAACCCCCCGTTGCTGCTTATTTCATTGCAAGTATCTCTCATAAGTCCTTTGCTCGACTTCATGAGATTACAGTCCTTTTTTTTCCTCAGAGGAGTATTGTCAATCAGCTAAAGTCTGACATGGAGAAGTTACAAGAAGAAATCAGGGCCCAACTGGTTAGTCTTTTAATATGCCTTAAGTGTTTGCAAATAGGCTGTTTCTTGATAGGATTAGTTACATCTTTCTATCCAAAATATTGTTCTGCTTTATAATTGCTGTAATTTTATATTGCTGACATGATGTTAGTGTCATCATGTGTGTGTTATTGCGGTCATGTGGTGGTCTTGCAGATCCTTGTTTGCTCATGTGCATATAACAGATTTCTGCGTTGCTGAGTTCTTCAATGAACCAGAAATGGTTGTCTGGAGACCCAAAATTTTGAAAGATTTCACAAATTTGTTCACAAAACTTGTGATGCCACTGCTTCTATCTGCCTCGATTCAGAAAAAAAGTTGTTCTAGTAGAATTTTCTTCAATGGGTGTGAACAGAAACAGTTCCTTATGGAAAATAATACTATTATTAAAAAAGAGCTGCTTTTGACTTTAAAATCTATAAATTTTTTTCTTGAGTAGTGATTCAATGAGGAAAAAGCTGTTCATACTTCAGTTAGTCCTTTAGGCTTTCATCTTTAAAGGTTTTCTTAGGTGGCAATAGGATGGTTAGTGGGGATGAGTTGTTGACCTTGTCTGAAGAATACCTTTCTATTTGATTTGTTGGTCCTGGTACTCTAGGTGAAGTTTATAATGATTCTCAAAAGGAGTTAAATTAAATGTGTGGGAGGATGGCATAATATCGAGAGCTGCAGTATTCTAATTTGTAAAGAAGTTTTACATGGATAAAGTTCCTTTTTCCCTCTTAGCGGCACACAGCAAGCTAGATTATGGTTTACCTAAATGGTTATTTTTTATGGTATTTTAGTTTTCTAAACGATTAAAGTGTTCTTTATTTGTGATTTGTATTAGTTGTATGCATAAAATAAGTTCATTAGGTGCTTTTGCAATGCTGTATAGATGTCAATGTGCTTCATATTATCTCGTTTCTATATTAATGATGTTTACATCTTTGGGAGAGCTTTAAATCAGCCAATATTTGTTTCAAGTTCTTGGCAACTTGACTTCTCGTGGATCTCTTTTTGGTTTTACTGTAATATCTAACATGTGATCCTTACAGGCAGAACTTGAGTCCTTTAAAATGGAATACACAAATGCACGGTTAGAATGTACTGCAGCTGATGAACGTGCCAACATATTGGCTTCTGAAGTTATTGGCTTAGAGGAGAAGGTAACAAATTTTTTATTGTGGATGTTTCTTTCCTTTTTTACATTAATTTATTTTTGAAGTGGGTTTCTCTTGGTTGGCTGTCTCCCCTCCTATATGATCTTGATTTCCTAAATAGTTTGCTTATTTGACATCGATTTTTGGATTATCTTTTCTGTTGTTGTGCAGCTGCATAAGCTTTGGCATTGGGTGGATTGAATAATTTTTTCTTTATCTTGTTCTTCTAGGCACTTAGACTACGGTCAAATGAGTTAAAATTGGAGAGGCAATTGGAGAACACACAAGCTGAAATCTCTTCTTACAAGTATGCATTATTGTTCTTTTTAAATTTTATTTTTGGGTTTAATTTCTTCTTCATAGCTTCTCTTTGAGTATAAGCCTCATCTCATCAGTAGTTTCCTCTTTAATGTTAGATCTTAGTATACTTAAATGCTCCCAGAAACTTTAATCACAATGAAAAGCAGCTCTTTGGGTTGTAATTTCCCAAGGTACAGAATCACAGGGGTATGTTATAGGCAGAATTCTGAGATGTGCTCATGTTGGCTTTTTGAGAAAGCATTAACTTTAATAATATATACAGGGAAAAGAAGCAAGACATGCATGTAGATTATGGTTCTTACTTCTAACCCATTTCAGCTAGGATTCTAAGCCAGGAATTGCTAGTAAATGAGTACATATTAATTTTGAATTTTTGAGAAAATACCATACTTCCAGGGTGCAGGAATCGCAATATAATAAATCAAACATCCTATTTTGGCCAAAAAGTAAAAAATGCTATTACTTTCATTTTATATTTTATTATCTTTTGGGTAATCACTTTTGAACTCTTATGCTTTTGGATGCCAAGTTCAGCTGGTTTTATCAAATAAGTTTCCATGGTTATATTTGTATCTTTCTATGAAGTCAGATGTTGCATGGTGGTAGTTTATCAAAGTTATTTTATCAGAAAGGAAAACAGAAGAAGAAAATGGTAGTGCCAGTAGTTATTGTATTATTATTATTTTATTATTATCATCATTTAAAACAATGATAACTAAGCAAAGCTTTACTTTAGTAAGACATTTCATATGTTTATTGTTTCCCTTTTTTTTTTCCCCCTTTCATTTTCAATAATTATGAGGTTTCATCCATTTTTGTTTTTTTAGTGTAAGTTCTCTTTTGATTCCTACAGACTTTCTTACAGAAATTCTTACTAAATCTTGCAGAAAGAAAATGTCTAGCCTAGAGAAAGAGTGTCAAGATTTGCAGTCAACTATTGATGCTCTTCAAGAAGGTAAGCACACCAATATTGTGGTAAGTAACATTTTCTTTCTTTCTTTTTTTTTTTTTTTTCATGTGTTTAATCAGATGTGATCTATGTTTTTGTTCTCATTCTGTTACATAGAGAAGAAGGTCTTGCAGTCTAAGGTATGGAATGCTTCATCCAGTGGGAAATCTATTGATATTACTAAGAGTGCTGCAAGTAGGAAAGATATGTCAACTTCTACTGAGGATCTAGGTAATCATGCTTGTTTACTGTCTAATTACTGCATATAAAAATTTTACAACTTGATAACTAAAGGGAATGCGTATGCATTATTCGGCTATAAAGTAGTAAGCTAATTTTCTTTGTTTTCTCTAAAGAGTAGAGTTATTACAAAGTGTTTGGAATTTAATTAAAATGTAATTTAAGAATATGGACAAAAAAGAGTCATTAAATGATGACCAGGCTAGCAACACTCTCTTCTAAACATTCTTTCTATGATTGGAACACGTGGCACATAGCTCATCCATGATTGGTGATAAGTTTAAATTCTAAATGATGTTTAGTTTGACTTTCACCACCTATCATCAAGCACTCAAAAGTTATGTCATGTGGCCCAATCAGAGAGGGAGTGTCCAAAGGAAAGTTATGAAAAATGATCATCATTGAGAGTTAATGCTTATGATGTCGTAGCATTTCAGATGATTGATTTCCTGATAAGCAACTTACTTGAAATAGTGCTTTCTTAAAGTTGCTCTGATTGAAAATCCTATTTTGGTGTTGAATCTATTTATTGAACTTGCACAGCAGATACTGATGCTATTTCAGCCACATCCAATGAAGAAATGCACAATTCTACTTTGCTTCTTGGAAGTGGTGCATCTACTTTCACCATGGTGCCTGAAAATGGAGAGTTTTCATTTGAAGCTTTATCTGTTAATATTCCTCCTGATCAAATGAGAATGGTTCAAAATATTAATGCTCTAATTTCTGAGGTAACTTCTTTACCATCTAAATATTCTCTTGTGGGCTTCCTTGTGGCCTTGCTTCTCTCTTTCTGAGAGGTAGAGCACCACCTCCGCATGTTTGATTGAAATTGGAAGTTCTAGAGATCCTTATCAAGGGTTTTTTTTTTTAAATCAGCTTTTACAAAACTTTTTCTGATTGCAGTTAGCTTTAGAGAAAGAAGAGCTGACACGAGCTTTATCATCTGAATTTTCTCAAAGTACTAAGCTGAAGGTAATGTGCTCTCTCTCATTGGTGGGATCATTCCGGTTGCATTTTCCTATCATGATTTCTGGATTTTCCTGGTCATACACTGGAGTGCCCTTGAGCTATGTGTGTATAACAGCATGACCTATCATGCTACTTGTACTGAAATATATAGGTTGCTAGACATATAAACTTTGTGCTGAGCAGGAGCATACTTTTTTTAACCCAAAAAACATGGGGGAATTTTTAATGTTTTGAAGTATATAATATTTGTTAGTAGTATTTCAAAATAGTTGATCTAACCCTCTAGAAGCTTTAGATTTTGATATTGTAGACAATCCAGAAGCTCTTTTTAAAATAACCATGTCTTTCTCCCAGTTGAGCTTCTAAAGCAGAGAAACTCTTCTAGAAGTAGACAAGCTCTCAATTTTCTGTGTAGTTAATCATGTCTAGATCATTTACGGAGTACATTGCTTATTGTTTATTTCCATTTCTAAACTTAAATTTCTTTCAGAATGAGGGTTAATTATGAACCTTCCCTCTGTCTTTCATGAATGAAGGATTTGAATAAAGAGTTGAAGCTCAAACTTGAAGCTCAAACTCAAAGATTACAGCTTCTGACTGCTCAAAATATGGCCAGTGAAAATATTTCTGCTCGACAGTCTGATTCTCGCCCAATTCATGAGAACACTGCATATGCAGATGAGGGTGATGAGGTACCATTTCTCTCTCTCTCTCTCTCACTTGCATCATGAAGCATTTTTTTTTCCCACATTTTTCATTATCCTCGTTGGTCGATTTGGTTCTAGATCATGTCATTTTTCAGTCCATTACTGAGTGACAAATTTGTTGCATGATTGTATTTGTGGAGTAAATGTGAAACCCAATTTCATGAGAACCCTGGGTCCTGCTGCTGTGTCATGTAAAGCTAGAGTTGCAAACAAGCCTAGCAAAGCCAGGCATTTTGTGAGTTCAAGCTCTGCTCTAGTAAAATTATGTGAGCTCAAGCTCAGACCGGTAGAACTTTTTTTAGTAGTTGAGTTCAGCTTGGAGCTCGATAGCCTAATTTTGAACTTGTTATCTGAGTCTTAAATTATATTAACTTTTTAAAATAAAATAAATTCAATCATTATTTTATTATTAACAAAAATATATTGTTAACATATGTAATTGAGCCAGCTCTAAAGCTGAACCTCTTGAAACCCTATTTTGGCTCAGAAGTTAATCAAGCTTGAATTTAAGCTTCTGCTTAAAGCCAAACTTGAATGAACTCAGGCTCGAATTGATGGTTAATGGATCGTTCCATCAGTAGCCCCAGTAAAACCACTACATTCTTGGAAATGCAGTAATTAGATTATTAGCAAGACGATAGAAATGCAAAGCATGAAAGAATTGAAATCAAATGTTACTAATGAGCTTTTATTTAGGTGGTGGAAAGAGTCTTGGGATGGATCATGAAGCTCTTTCCAGGAGGGCCATCAAGACGACGAACCAGCAAGCTTCTTTAGTGCCAAGTAAGAATACCTTGTCAACTAAGGTCTATACTTGGATCTAATTCTGCTCTGTTCCCTTTGGCCTTCCCTTGTTTTGCAAATACGTGAGGGAAGGGTCGTGAAATATGTAAATTGTGAGTCATCATAGTACAGACCCATTCTTTTTCCAGTAGAAGGAAAATCGATGTTCCATTTGATTGGCGAAATCCAAGTGAATTATTTCAGAGAAGGCAGTGAAGCAAAATCCTGAATGCGGTCACTGAGTCTGGTTTGGGGATCATATTTTGTTGGGGGCGTTGATGTTCTGCCACATGGTTGAACTCAGACTCTGTTTGAAATACGCTTTGGGCGTTACGCCCATGAAATTAACGATTGATTTTCAGATTTTTGACAGTGTTGTTGAGCATTTTCTTCCCTCTTAAGTTCGCAGAGCAAGCACTCAACAATGCCAATTCCACTTGTTTCATTGTCGTGATAATGTTATAGCTTGACTGAGAAGTTTACTGGGAACTAAAAAAAGAAAAAATGAAAAATAAAAATTAAGACGTATTAATACTTAAAAATTTTAGATAGGTTGTAAAATTGTTTAAATAGTTTATGAATCATGTGCGATGATTTATTGAGTATTTAAGTTTTTTATTATTATTTTTAACACCATAATTGTCAGCACAGCAGTCATAATTTTTTGCAACCTCAAAAGAGAAAAGTATAGAGAATATTAATTTTTTTATTCAAATATTCTAGAGGGGTTTCCAGGGGATGATGCAACTTTGTGATGGATCAAATTGACTGCTCTGCATTAATAAACCCTACTCTTATAATGGGTAATTTATTAATTTTAATAAATAAAAATATTTTACAATTTAATAATAAAACACTTAAATCAATTTTATTTTTTATTTTTTTATATTTATATATAAGTTAATACGTATCAACTAAACTCAAAAATATTAAAATTTTAATTTATATTTAAAAATTTTAATTTTAATTTAAAATTTAAAATTTTAATTATTTTTAAATTTAAATTAAATAAAATAACATATTATGATTAATTTTTAAAAAAATCAAAATTAATGTACTTTTTTTCATATATATATATATTTATCTTTTTGCGGCAGAGATTCCAACTGCAAAATAAGCTCTTTCTATGCTTGACGCAATAACACTTGATAGCACTTCCAACGAAAATCAGCGTTCTGCACTGAAATAGACTGCATTTGAAAAATAAATAAACATAAATTACATTAAAATTTTTAAGGCATCCCCAAAATCCATAAATATGTGGTGCAAATTAGATTGTCCGCTTCAGTCTGAGGTTCCTTCTATTGCTGCCATGATTTCACCCTTCTCCAGCTTCTCACTGCCCATCGTCTCTTCTTCTTCTTCTTCTTCTTCTTCATCTCCTTCTCAAGGTAGTTGACTAGAAAACCTTCTCCTATACTCCTTATATTGTGTATTTACACACTGCTCCTTGTTACTTTTTCTGGAACAGATGCAAGCTCCAACACGAGGAAGACAGTGAAGCTAAGAGAGGACTGGAGGAAGCGCTCCAGACCCATACCACCAGGAGGTATTTATCCAGCTAAAGATCATTGCAGGTATGTTTCTTTAAATACCCATCTTTCCATTCTTTAGTTCTTCTTGATTTTTCTTGCTGGGTGTTTTGCTCTACTTTTGGTTTTAATTTTAATTTTATATGGCAGTCGATGTGGTTTGTGTGATACTTATTACATTGCCCATGTGAAGGATGCTTGTGCTTTCTTAGGAGATGGAATGTCTAGAATTGAAGTAAGTTGTTTGTTTTCTTTATCTTCTTCCCCTTTGTTTCTTTTGCTGATTACTGGTATTGATTTATGTGCCCAAACATTTGGCATTCGTATTACTTGTCTGTAAGAGTGAGGAAATGCCGGGTTTAGCAAGAGGGGAAGATTTGCTCAATTTCTTTAGCAATCACATTTATATTGGGTGTTGCTGAAATTTTTTACTCTTTATATATATATAAAAGTAGAATTCTTTGTTTTTCTGAGAATAGATTCATGACAATGTTACCAATGTCAAGACAATTTAACGTTCTGGATTTGGGTTTGTCTTCTACCTAAGTTATGCATAAGCTTGTTAATCTCAAGAGTTGCACTGCACCTAGGCCTTCACTGTAATTTAATGCGTTTCCATCTTGTTTTTGTTGTTAGATGATTGGTTGACTAATTTACTTTTTCTTTCAGAGCTTAGAGCCTGTAGTCCATGGTAGAGGAAGAACTGATTCCTTTGATGAGACATATATGGGAGTCCATGAAAATCTGCTATATGCTCGTAAAACTAAGCCTGTAGAAGGTAAGTTGTCTACTTTCAAAATTTAGCAATAAAGTTTTCATAGTTTCAAGCTTGAAATGTACTTTTCTGGTCTATTGTTTCTCTTTGATTCTCAGTCAGTTTAATTGCTATACTGTAATGTATTAGTATTGCCTAGTAGGCTATCTCAGTTGTCAAAGCTAATTCAACATTATATGTTGTGTAATGAACTCAGCAATTTATTCTCTTCACCTGATTAGAAAAGAAGTATTCTTTCTTCAATACTGGATTTTGTGGTCATTAGTGGTTATATTTGAGAGTAAAAATGGTGACACCATTCCTCAGTCAAAAAGATTAACTCTATGCTCTTCTAATTAAACTAGTCCTCTTTTTTTTTTTTTTTTTTTGTAACTTGAAGTTAGCATATATTTAATTGCCAAAACAGATGTTACAAAGCTCACTATTGATTTTATTTAAATATGAAGTGTATAATCAGTTAAACATGGATTGTGATTGATAAACTTTCTTTTTTAAAATTTAGGATGGTTATGGTTTTGGAATGTCCTATGGTCAATGGAAAATTAGTTAAAATCATTGTAAGTTAACTTTTAAATCTCTGTTGATGTTCTGAAACAAGCTTAAGCCTTCAAATTTTTGTTACCTGGGGCAATTTGTCAAACTACTTGTCTTTAGCTTGAAAAGAAAAAATGATATGCTAGTATCATGCAGAATTTGGTGAGTCTTCAGTTTCACTGCAGTAGGACTAAAAGGGAGATTAGTATTGTTTTGGAAATTTGATATAAAGTCTGGGTAATTAACTCTTATTATTCATTTTTCATGCTTTTTAGCACATAGCCTTAGTGTAGAATTGTTGAAAAACAATGGCCTCATATGCATGGCCTTAGTGTATCTAATGAACTTGAGGCCTACTGATTAATGTACCATGTAACTCTCTACATGTTAGGGGCTCAGTGGACAGGAATAGTAACTACTATAGCAATTGAAATGCTGAAAGCAGGCATGGTCGAGGCTGTCATTTGTGTACAGAGGTAGGTTGTGCATGTTTTTTTAATAGAAACTGATTATCAAAATGGAGTTTGTTATCAATTACTTAAACATTTAGTAAATTCTTGTTTTTACCCTTCATTTTTTTTCCTGATGTTATAATGCAGTGATCCAGATGACAGACTGACTCCAAGGCCTATTCTTGCTCGGTGTGCTTTATCTATCTCATTTAGTCACCCTAGAATGTTCTCAAATCTGAACTTCGTGATTTTATGTTCTATTTAGTTGTGACTTTATCTTTCTCACTTGGTCTGTTTTTCATCCTTTTTCCAACAGAACACCAGATGAAGTTTTAGCTGCTAAAGGTGTCAAGCCAACATTATCTCCCAATCTGAATACCCTTGCCCTAGTTGAGGTGCCTTCTAGTATTTGTGGAGCAGCTCCGTATAATTGCTTTGTTGTTTTATAAAGAAACTATAGAAATGATTACAACATGTCTTGGGATTTAGCAAAAGTTGGGCTGAGATTAAAAATATGGTTCTTTTACTGTTAGCTACTCTTTGGGTGCTTAAATACTTATTAGTCTACATGTCTTTCACATTGAAAGTTCAATGAGACGAATGGTTATATTTTCTATTTTCCAGGCTGCTGGTGTGAAACGTCTTCTTTTCTGTGGGGTGGGATGCCAAGTTCAAGGTTCAGCACTGTTTTCCACTGGCATTTTCTCTATGTTGCTCAATTCTTCAGTGTGACTTGTACCATCATAATGCAGAGTGATTTCTTAAACTGCAGCATTGAGGTCTGTGGAGCAACATTTAAATTTGGAGAAGCTCTATGTGTTAGGCACCAACTGTGGTAACTGAAAGCCTCATTTATTATTTTTCTTACTTTTACTCTGCAAGACTTTGTATTTATGAACTTTGTTCTACATGTTTGGGCCATTTTCAATTCAAATATCTGAAGACACCATCCAGAATTGTCTGATGCTAAAAGAAATGGAAATATATTTTCATGTAAATTTCTATCTTTGGCATCAAATACTAAAGAATGTTGTGGCATTGGTTTTCTGTAATTAAACCACATCATCTTAAGATCTGCATTTAAATATATAATCTGATTGGCAATGCATGGCTTTATGTTAGCTTTGACTGTGAAGTACCAGAAATGCTTGCCTTCTCTCAATCATTACAAATTGTCTTATTTAACAGTGGATAATGGAACTCGAGAAGGCCTAGATAAGTTTCTGAAGGCAGCAAGTAGTGAACCAGAAACGGTTCTCCATTATGAGTTTATGCAAGATTATAAGGTTCATTCTAAGTAATCCTTTCCATCTCTGCTCAAATTATGTCTTCCTAAATAGCATTTTTGTTTCTGGAGTTAAGAACAACATACTGTCTGGGTGGTCTCAATATTTTAAATCTCTGAGAGATATGAACTTCCAAGTTACTTTGTGCCTTTAGATTTTGCTTTTATATTCACTTCTGGATAACCATGAAAGCTTTTAAAAATGCAGTTTTAGCCTTTCAGGCTGTATTTGGCTGTTCTTGAGCTAAAATAGTCTAGGTTCATTTCTGGAAAATAGGAATTTCATAATCAGGTTCCATTATGCAGTCTGCATTGCCTCTTAAAAAAAAACACAAACAGTAGTTGTAGATATTACTTAGTAAGTAGGTTGTGGCTTATATCTTAAGAAGGATTTCTGTTAACTTGTAATATTTTATACATCTAAGGCAGGTTTTCTTATTCACGTCTTAAATGTTGATGTCAGTTAGAGTATTCTTTTAACTAATTGTTGATACAATTCATATCTCATGTTATAAAGCATTAATTGCTTATATGGTTATAGTTCTATCATGATAGGTCCACCTGAAGCATTTGGATGGCCATATTGAGGAGGTAGAAGAGTCCCTTTACCTCTTTTCTGGTCTGAGCCCTCAATCATCCTGTTTCATCCATTTCAAATTTTTACTAAAGCAGGTTCCTTATTTCTCTCTACCAGCAAACAACTTAGTTGACGTAATTGCTCCATCTTGCTACAGGTAGTTTTCATTTTTTTTTCTTCCTCTGTTTAGCATTCTATGTCAAATACATAAATAGAGTTTATTGAACTTTTCCTTAAATCTTATATTATGCTAAAATGACAAGTTAGATTTCATCCTACAGGTGACAGAGGTATGATTGCTATCTCAAATTAAAAGAAAATATAAAGAGAGAAAAGTAAAATAATGATCACTTAGCCCAAAATACAAGGCAATTAACAAGTGAACTTCTTAGGTGGCACCCAATAGTTTTCATTTTATGAAACAGCTTAGCTCTGCTCTTTCCTTTGACACTGCTATAACAAATTTGTGAAACAAGGTAGTTCTTTCTGGTAGTTAGATGTGTACTAAGGAATTATTTATTATTCATGTTTTCACGTTGCAAAGTTTTTAAGTAGAATTTTTTTTTTTGTGTGTTCTGCAGCTGTTTTGACTACACAAATGCACTGGCGGTGAGTTTTGTCAGTATACCTGAGCTCTTTCCCCATCAACTGGCATGATGTGGCTTTATTTTCTGTTTAATCCAGGATCTGGTGGTTGGATACATGGGCGTGCCAAAATATCCTGGAGTCAGCATGACACAACATCCACAATATGTTACAGTCAGGTACTGTTTTTTGCATGATATCAATTACGTTAGCTCTTTTTGGCCTGTTTAATCTTTTCCTTTTCTAGGTGCCTATTTTTATTTATCTTTTTTCTTTCTTATTGAACCTTTTCTATTTATCAAGTTCTTGTTCTGCATCGTGATATTTCAAATTTGAGTACTGCCTATTTCAAGAGAACTCTTTTTTGTATTTTGAAACTTTTTCTTTTGGCTATCTATTTTAACACTTCAAACTACAGAAATGCACGTGGCAGAGAAATGCTTAGTTTGGTAGAGAATCTTTTGGAGATTACTCCAACAATTAGTGGTGTAAGACCCTAAGCTATATACTCTGTTGGACAAATACTGCATTTTGATTCTAGAAGTCTGATTCAAAGACATTTTATTTCAGGGTAATAGGCAAGCATTTGTTATGGAGACTGTTAAGGCAGATGATGATGCTAAGTTTGGTAAGTATTGATGGTTTTATTTCATCTGTACTTCATATGATGCCAAGCATTGTCCATGCTTTGTAGTTGAACACTTGTGTCCATGGTACTTGGGGTGCATGTCTTTCAAATTTCCAGTAATTGAAGTCACGCAGTTTCTTTTTGATTCCATTATATCAAAGTGTTAGGAAATTTTCTAACATTTGAAGAGTACTATAAATAAAATGTCTGAAATGTAGAAAACCTTTTGGAACTAGCCTTATGAATTTCGTTTCAGACAATACTGGGTAAATTAGTCAAAATTTAAAATTTTGAACAAGCTAGATTGAATCATTAGAAAAAAATTCATTCTTATATCAAAAACCAATTTCAGCATCTAAATTTCTTCATATGTTTGATTTCTTTGTGACTGTCATCATTGCCATGATCTCTTCTATTCAGAAATTACTTACTCATACAGAAACAAGCACTTAGACTAGTCTTTATACCCATGTTTTTGGTTGTTTCTTCAGATTTAGAGGATTCATGAATTCCCTTCATCTAACAATTTTGTTTTTTCTCAGGGAGGGGCCCATCTCAACCTGCTCCAAAGTTCATTGGCAATATCATAGCTTTCATACTGAACTTAGTAAGCATTCTTCTCTGTAATGCATTTTCTTATGAAATAGTAAAGAAGTCATATCATCCTGATATCTCTCTTCCTGTTCAGATTGGCCCAAAGGGTCTGGAATTTGCCCGCTATTCACTCGATTACCATACCATCAGGAACTATTTATATACAAACCGCACCTGGGGAAAGCAAAGGTATATATATTCCAATTAGAAGTGAGCATGTTTTATGGCAGTGCAACCTCTTTTAATATTGGAAATTATGGATTTGTGCAGAGCTGAGCAGCACATTCCTTCATATGCAAAGAAAATTGTGGATTTGTACAACCAAAATGGCCAGATTGATGGTATGCTTTCTCGTAAGTGATTGCTTGCTGGAAAAAATGTTGTTCAGGAGGCACATTCATGTATGTCAAAATTCCTCCCTCTGCTTTCTAATGTATGAATTTTGTAGAATTGGAAGGCTACTTTATATAACCATTAGGAAAGGATATCGAGTTATGAAACAAAATGGATATAAGATAACTGTAAGTTTTGTCAGTAGTTCTCACTACCATTTCGTTATAAAAATATCAGTGGATTAACCCACGATGCAATGTGGACTTTTTTCAATTGTCAAGGTGTTTCCAAATTCCACTCTCCCCTTGGGTTGAGTCTCTTTGCCCCCTCTCATGAGGGTGTTTTCTGTCGGCCACTGCTTACTTAGTCCTCCAAACATCTTTCCACTGATTTCCTTTCCTTTCTTTGTGGAGGTCATCGCTACTGGGTGTCCCAAATCTCTTATCCTTTACTCACTGTGCTTGCCTCTCCCACCAACCCTCGTCCTTTCTAATCATTGTCTCCTTCAGCCTTTTCCTCTTGGGTTTCTCAAGGCCAAGTCACTGGTCAGCAAAAGGGTTTACACGAAAATCTGATCCAATCTACCAGGCATACCCAACCATTGAAACTCTTACCTTGCCAGTGATTGGGTTGGGATTCTGGCCTACTCAGGGGGGCCTGTGTTCCTTGAATCTCAAGCTCACAGATTTGGTATCCATGCCTGCTGTGTGGGACGAAGGTAAGAATGATTTGCTTATGTCTAATTATACAAAGCAGCTATTGAGCTTTCTTGAAATGCGTGATAAACCTCAATTTGGATTCTCAGTCTCTAGATTGATTAAGGGATGGAATTTTTGTGCTGACGTGATATATTAATACCTCTTAATGAAGTTGGACCTCATGAGGATATTATATCTCTCTGCTTGGATTCTGAGTTATTGAGTCAGTATTTTGGTTGATGTTAGTTTTGAAGGGTTTAATCTGTTCAATCAATCTCTATTTGAGGATGGTCTTGAGGGTTTAGAATTTTGGGTCATGAAGAATTAGAGCAATTTTCTAGTAGCTAAATTAAATTATGTAGAAATGCTTGTGTGTGGGTATGTGAATGAGTTGATTGGTGATGGGATACAGCCATACAGGAGGTCTCCTTCGGAACTAGTAACTGCGTCTACTTGGACAGAGGTGGACTCTCTACTGTTGGGTTTAGTGGTTGCCCTTAAATTATTAAAGGTCCCATGATTTCTACAATCCTTAACTGCCAAGGGAAGCGATCTCCCTTGGTGGTGCAGTGCTAATTGAGGATAGTACTATTTGATCCTTTATCCTTTTACTGTGTTTATATTTTCTGTGATTAAGTCCGATATTAGATAAGTGGAGCTTGTGTATGAAGTTTGAAGGTGACATAGGTTGCAAGGTTGAATTTTTAAGTTTAAGGACTAAAATTCTATTTATATAGAGATGCTTAATGGATTAATTAATAAAATAACTAAAAAAGTATATATTTTAAATTGAGAAATAAAAAAATGCATAAAATAGTTGAGGATTGAATACTGTGCAAAACTCTAAAATTGACATATAACGTATGACCATATGGTGATATGAATATCAAAGTTTATTGTTAGTCATGGTAGCTTTAATTTCCCATTTTATGGAAGAAGATCATTTGACTTGAGGATACGAGAAGCTAAAGTTTTAATAAATTTTGTGTTTGTCTAATTTATATTTTAAAGATATAAATTAAAAGTGTAATAAATATATCTTTTTAATAAATTTGTATTGAAAAAATAAAAATTAATTTTTAATTTATTAATTATTTAATTAAATTTACTCACTTGATATTAATATTAAAATTAAAATTAATTTTTATTTTTTTATATACATTTATAATAAAAAGATATCATTAACTTATATTTTAAAGATAGAAGTTAATAAAACCGATAAATTCTATACACATTTAACTTATTGAATTTTTATGTAAATTTAGATGATATTTTTATATAATAATCAAAAAATTATTATCAAATTATGTTGTGACAATAAAGTTACCAAGATGTTGTCATTTGTATTTTATCTTAAATTATGCCATAAGAGTTAATTTTCTTTTAAGTTACTATATATATTATACTATTTAAATTCAAAATTTTTTACTTTTATAAGAAAAAAATATTATTAAATTATTTAAATCATTAGTAAAATTTTACCATTTTTCATTTTCGAGTAGAATGTTATATAGATTGGGTCCAATACACCATTTTCAAGTCATTGTTAAAAGTTGGACTCATTGAGTGGCCCTATACATGAGGAAAGTGTCAGCCGCGCTGGCTTGGGTGCATGTTGACACTGGCAATACTAGGGTTCAAGCTGATATAGTACTGTCATCATCCCCTTTTTTTTTTTTTTTTCCTTTTTTTTTTTTTTTTTTTTTTTTTGCTTAAATATAATGGACTTGGTTGCAAAATATACAAGTAATTGTAGTGCCATCATCTTAAATAACTTAATATGAATCCTTAAATTAGGGTAATCCATTGTAAGTGGAAGCCTTCGATGTTGCAGCTTGGCAAGTGGGGGA